GAATCCCACAACGGGTTCAGGATCGTTATGCAGTACTTCACTCTGGCGTACAGCTCATTAACATCCAGGATACTTCTGCGCATGCTGGGTGGGAATGCGTCTGGCCAGACATGCTGGCCGCATCACGTGACTTATTTCTTGATGCAAACCGTGTCCAATGGCGCAGCTGATGAGAGAGATGTCGTGTTTCATGGTAATTCATTACACCGCCTTCCGGAATCTGACTTGCCTCAATGATTCTGTGCGTCAAAGGCGCTGGAAGTGCCTTCAGTCCCACTCCAAATTCATCAGCACATACGCATCTGGAAAACCGATAACCGTTGGCACAATTTTGTTGCAGCATTGCATTGATACAATACCCAGCGGCGCTTCAGCGAGTGCCCATATGTCGATATTTACAAGTTTTGATGTCTGCACGAAAGTTGCATCAACACTGATACACTGGCCTTGCTGCACCATCGTTCGGCGTTGCATCAATAGCACTCTATATACAATATTGAATCAACTTCTGCCATTTTCCAGATGTGAAACATTCATTTTTGTTCTTCGTCATGCTAATCACCACTGCTGGCCAAGGAACGTTACGTTTATTTTCTTCGGAGATCATGGGCATTTTGGGTTGCCGGAGATTCGGAAACATGCTTGCGCCATGAAGATCCAATTCTCACACCTCTTGGAGCTTTCAGGCTGGGCGATGCAATCTAGATTGGGCGACGAAGTGACACGCCAAATAGGCATTGCATGCTGATTAATCTGCGAGCCACCAAGCGAGGTCGTTCCACTGAGCCAAGCTTAAAGCGCGGGAATTGGGGTGACGGGTACTTACCCCACAAGTATCTTGGGTCGCGTGACGCCACGTGCGCGTCATGCCTCCTGGCTTGCTGCCCGACATTTGGAGTTTAGGGAAATCCGCGTGAGGGTGGCAGGTGTCGCTAGACTCAAGATACCCCAGCGTCTCTGGCTGCACAAACTGAACGATTTGATTGGCGAAAATGGAGTAAAACTGCACTGATTTGCATCCACAGACGCACTGAAACTATTGGAGGAAGGTGCCTCGAATGCCACCATTAGGAGTGGCATGTGCGCTGGAGTTGCAGGGCCCGGCGGCGGAACAATGGGATTGGGAGACTTGTTGGCGTCCATGGCGCGCCGCGCGGCGCGAGAAGACATCAGCGACTCTTCAGCCTTGGAGATTGCGAGAATAGTGATGAAGTGAGCTGTGGGATATTCGCATCGAACGAGGCGATCTCAGGCCTCTGAATGGATGCCACGGTGCTCTGCGCCGCGTCCATGGCAGTGGCATGCGCTTGCTGCATTTCGTGGATGCAAAGCCGAAACCTTGCCATAGTTTCTTTTCCTGTGCGCCAGTTCCGCGAACGACACGTCGCCTGCAGTGTTTCCTTTCAAGAAGAGACTATGCCCTAAATGTTAGGACCGTCCGCTAGAAGGTGATTAAGGGGTGTTTGGATGGCAATTGTCACAGGTCGCTAAACGAGGCATGAGCTTGTCGTGATGCTTTTCTGGTTCCACGCGATCGAGCCTGAGCATCTATTTACATGCCCCTGTTCAATCTGCAGTGATTTGTGGAAACGCGCTCCAATGATCTCGATATTGGTACCACAACGTCAGGCAAACTGCAGAATGAACGTCCCTAGGGACTTTCCTAAAGCTTTATTTCTTTCTCGCAGGCTGCAGAAACGCACCACAGATCAAACCCTGAACTCAACTGTAATTTCGTTGAATAGTACTGCGATTGAGCACACCTTTACCAAGAAATGGCAACAAAATCAATGTTCGTGGCACACAATGTGGCCCCATTTGGGCATTTCGCAGTTAGACTACTGACGAGCGATTTCCAGAATTTTGATGTTTGATGAAGCTGGCAGAAGCTGGGTGAAGTGGCGGCTCTTTTTGCCAGATGCGCAGGAGACGAGCAGTGCAGGTCCGCGATGGCCAGAAGTAATGCCAGGATGGCGACCCCCCTCGTAGATATTCTACGCAAACTCTTAAAGAGACGCAACCAGGTGAGGGTTTTAGTAAGGTTTTGTTGCAAATTGGGACAACCATGATAGGCGACGCAGATACGATGCCACCATCATGCCTCGGACCACTTTGCAAGTCCTTTACCCAATTGGGTGCCTGGAATAACGACTTCAAACTTTCCGATTCCCTACCAAATTTGAGAAATGCTTAAGCACTGTTCCGCTGAGATGACACGGGTGGCATCATGCCACTGGCATGAAGCTATGCGGCCCATCAGCTGAGCCACACGGCTCTGATGTTGTCGCACATTGTAGAAGTTCGTTACCTGTACCTTTAACTGGTTGAGGTGCAGCCGTCCGCTCTTCAGAGCTGAACGTTCAAGTTTGGATTTATTTTACATCATAAGATAAACGGAGCATTAATAACTTGATGCTCAACATCAATTTATGCATAGGGGTTCCGACAATGTGAGTCCAACTGCCCGTTGTATGCTCACAGGTCCATCGTGTCCATGTTCTCTTATTGGAATCCGCAGTTCGGCTGTGTGCCGACAGCAATCTCGTGCACGGGGAGGCATTCGATACTGAAACGGAAGACAAACGCCCGTGCGGCGAAGGAGATTCTTTGGCCAAAGGTGCAGGATGACTTAATTGGATTTGTATTCTCGACAGGTCCATGCGAAATGGATTCACCAAACCATGACCAAAACCTCATTGATATCGATGTGGCTATGTGAAAAGGGGCCAAAAGGAGTAGATCGCGCAATCGACTCACACGATCACACTTCTGCGCTCAGTGGTACTGCGCATCACAGAGTATTCTCCCGAAAACGCTCAATCAGTAACTGCGCCAGGTCTCCATTACTCGCAAAAACAAATGGCGTCAATTTCATTATCAGGACTGAGGGATGCCGCCCCTACCCCGCCCAAGCAAGGTAGTCAATATTAGACAGGGTGAGTACACGTGTGCGTACACACGTTGCCTGCACTGTAATGTGCAGTGAGAGAGGAAGCCTGGCGCCGACATTCATTCTAACGGATGATATTAGGTTAGACCCGTACTGGTTCTTTTGTGACATATCCATTTTTAATCAGGAACTCCGTAATCAAAACAAGAAATTGAGATTGGATCTGGGATGCATTTGATCAGGAATATCCTTGCAGCAGCATCGCAAGTATCATTGGCACCATGTCGTTGGCAATACCCATAATTTCAATTACGTTTCGATATTTAAATTTAAGCATTGCCCTATTCATATACTTTTGGCGTAGTGTCGTACTGAACTGAGGTTTTCTCGCAGGTGTCGTCGCTTTGGTGCTCCAGATTCACCTCATGTGCCCCCTGAAGACATCTCCAGTGTATGGTTGGGGAGGGAAAGTAACGTCATACGAGAAACGACCCACGGTTCCTGAAATCGAATCGCCAAATGATCCTGGGATGACAGACAGCGAAATGGAAGTCTCGAGTGCGTGTGCGCGACGCTTGCTGCATTGACTGCACAGCCAATTGGACACCAAGAAGGGGAAGCGGGGGAGCTTAACAAAGCATAATGTTAAAAGGCAATTCAGAAGCAAAATGAAAATTGACATTTGCGCACGGAGTAGCAAGGGAAGCTTTCCTTGATGGACGCATGATATCGAGGTCTTGGGTCCAACAATTCGACATCACCCCTCTGTCCGAGGGAACGGCGTATGCACGCTCTCGATACACATTCCGTGTTTTCATCAATACAAGGACTTCATCGGAATTCCTGCATGCACCACAGATGATAAAAATAAAATTCGAAAATGGGCAGAACGGAATTCTGTCGAGAAACTTGCGATGGTGATGAAAATATCCTAAGGGAATTTATTCAGCTCTGTTGGGACATGTTGATGGCATTTCTGGACCAAAAGATACCACCGCAAACGCCTCTGCGCTTTAATAACTACTAGGTAATGCAACAGTCCCGGCAAAATTGACAACTATGTCCAAAATATCACTGAGAGGCGTGCGCATCGTTCCTGTACTTCAGCTGCATATAAAACGCCCTCCCCTTTCCCTTCATCATAATATCTGAAGCCGCGTTTGCCACCAGGCCGCTGTATATTGGAGGCGTGCATGGATCTACTGATTCGGTGTTCCGACAGCAAGAAGATGTCCAAGGCGATGTACATGGCGAATGCCACAGAAGCGCTCGAGCAGATAGGCCGCTGCACCCCGTGCGCATTGAAAAGGAAAGTGGGCGATGCTTACGCCACTTTTGCACTTCACAGCAAGGTTGGTCTGTCCTTTTCAGCAATTTCCAGGTCAATTTGACTTACCTGATGTCGTTAAATCAAGTAAGGATATTCGATGCGGGCCCGCCTGTGATCCAATGGTCCAGTACTCGCGCAGGTTTGACATGCAATGGAATCTCCTGTTGCACGAAATTACGCCAACATGCGGAACCACGATCTGCATAAATTTCCCGGACAGTAAGGAAACACATGTTCTGTGAACAACCGAACTTGTTACCTGCAGAAACAGTAGCCTTTTGTGGAAACCAGTTATGCTAAAGGAAGCCATAAATCACGCTGTCGACGCGAGAGCTGTCCCACAGAAATCAAGATGCGTATAACAGTGAAGGGACAAAACTGCAAAATTGCAAGTGTAATTGTAGAATGTGCATGTAATTAAGAAATTCAAAAGTAATTCGACTACGTCTTGAGTACATTGTCTGAAAAAATATGTTTTTCAGATCAAAGAAAATATAAATTTGTTACCACATTGAGGATATCCACATTTCCTGAAAAGGCGCTGGGTCGTTGTGCATCCATATTTGTTGTGCATGCATACAGAACTACCACGGACTGATTATTTTGTCCGACACTCTACATTCTATGCGCTTATTTTTATTGTATCGCTCTAATATATTTCGCCATTTTTTAAACTTTCTTTCATTGTCCTTGTATTTTTTCAGCGCCGCTCTTCTGTTCGGACTTGTGTTTATTTCTGCGTGTTATAACTGACACACACAAGGTGGGCCTCCGTCTCAGGCTGTTCGCGACGAAGTCTGCGAGAGTGGAAATATGGTGGCCCTGGTTGGCATGATTAACCACAGCAACCAGGAACTGACGTGCAGGGCATTAAAGCGCCTCTGCATTGTTCTTGACACATCTTCGGGCTGCGACTACATGTGGTTCACCAGCGAAACATCGGGGGCCCTCTCCAAGGTACCCCGCTCTGCGCTGAATGTTTCCGCGGGAAATCCTTACCTCGGGGAAGCAGCGCACTTTCCGAAACTTCCATTATTTTCTTGCGCAATGTTTATGGCTTATTCTATTCACCTTCACAGTGTAGTGACCATTCTGCTCTGTTCATGTGCAGCGGCAGCACCTAGATTCAGGTAAATGTCCTCAATGTGACCATGGGAACGGCTTGTGCATTTTTTTTGATCGTGGATTTGTTGCGGCACTGGAATCTGGGAGGCATAGCAAAAGCCACTGATTGTTCTCTGCTGACGCATATCTGGATGCCGCCATATTTAGCTTGTGTCATTCGCCTACTTGGATAGGTGCTGCTAATTATCGGGGAGAGCAGCCAGCAACAAAGAGTGCCTAAATGGGTCCAGGCTACTGTGAGCCACGCAGAGCAGGTGATTCCACACACCAGCATTCATGGTATCCTGTTGAGTACTTATTTCAGTAGTATTGACTCTTCCAAACTACTTTAGGTAGCATTGCGCACGTTAGGTTGAACAGGAGAAAAGCTATAGTAAATGGATGCTTGAGAAATGTTGTCTACATACATCTACCTAATTGTGCCTTAGATGCGGGAGGATTTGGTGATGAAACGGCAGTTGATATCTCAGAAGCAGTTCCTTAAGAATGGAATTTTCTGGCAAGTGATCAATCTGGAAAATGCGCCGACATCTGCACTCTATAAAATTGAAATTGCTGTGTGCATCTGTTTGCAGCCACCTACTCCGACAGACCTCTTCAGATTTTTTTTCAGGCACCTTTTTTAATATGATATTGTGCCCTCCACAAATAAACCATCTCCTGTTGCAAAGAGATGTAACGCGGTTCAAATGGTTTTGAATGGCGAAAGAAGTCATATTTCGGGCAGATTAGATCTCTAATCCCCTGATTACCCGGTTCTGAGAATGGAAGCCAGTTATTGTACATATAGTTTGTCCCAAGATATCCCTAATGACTTACATCTAGGTTCCAAAATCTTCGCGTTCACATCACAGGTGTATCAGCGATCCCAGAAGATTTGGGCCCCTCAAATCTCCGCATGTGGCAAAGCACAGACGTGTGAATACTTCTATTCAGGCGTTTCTTTCTGTACAGGAACATGTTTCGTCATCGCAAAGGCGTGCGCACGTTCCCATCGCATAGTGTTTTCAGCAACGTTGAAAAATGAGCTATGGTGTCCTGACGACGCTGAATTAGGATTTCCCCCCAAGTGACTGTATCACATATTTCCTTGATACTTTGAAAGTGTGTGCTTCAAGCTCAACCCCACAGTTTGTATGGAATTTCATTGAAAACTGCAGCCCTCGTGATGGAGGGACACTGCAAGAAATACATAGAAGTCAATGGGTGCAGGGACAGAGATAATGCATGTGTGAACCTACCAGGTTTTCCGTGCCTCTCTGGAGAGATCCAGAAGGATGCAGTCCATTGAGCCCCCCAGAATTCCAAAAGGCTCCTTTTGGAGCTCACAAGAGAAGGATGTGTTATCAAACATCGAAAGGAAGCTCCTCGGTGCCAAGGACAGGCAGGCTGTTGGCATTGGTCCAGCTGGGCCGGCCCAGGAAAGCAGTAACGATCGCATGCCATGGTATGGCGCTGCCGCCCAGCGCGTGGCATCTCAACAAGGGTCAACCGTTTGCGGAAATTCGGCATTCTCTGGCGCCAAGATCTCTGGCGGCGCAGCAGACAGTGCCAAGCAAAAGGCGCGCAAAGCTGGTGAGGGATCGCAACGCGCATCACCACATGGGTTGAAAGAAGAGATGCAATTCGTCCAACAGTCGACATTATGCGTGTTTTCCTGAAGCCCAACAATTTGCCCTGCTTTGAGCTGGCAAGCGCTGCGTACAATGTCGTGAATGGATGCCATCATTCCCTCCAGTGGGATTGAATATCCTCGATAAATGAGATAAAAGCGGATGAAAATGTACATCCATAATATGGCTTCCATGCGCGATCCAATGTGGCACCACTTGCGCCTGTCGCTTTAGCAAGAATTTGTCCTGAAACATGTTATGGGCGACATTGCAAGCTGGCATATCCCCGGTAGCTCTCCCGAATGCGTTGTGTTGCACTGGATTGTGTTGAATTGCTCATAGCATCCCAATACACCAGGATGCCCGGCAACCACACCCAGGTTTTGGATGACCCAAGCAAGGTGGATTTGATTGAAGCAATGTCTTCAATTAACTCTCTCTTATCCTTGGCGCAATCAGTTCCTTCAAAGCCGGAGGAACGGCCAGGCACATATGATGAAGATGGCTTGAGGGTGGTCTTTGACTCCTCTCCCAAAGGCTGCGTCAAAGAATGGCGACGCCAGTGGAGAGAGAAGACACTCAGAGAGAAGATAAGATGGAGCCAGACGTCTTCTGACATACATGTGTGGATCGAGATGCCCAAAGGTGAATGCTTTGATAGAACGCTTTCGCGTGACATGCACTACAATGCAGCAAACGTATATTTACTCACTTCACGAATAAATATTTCCTTTCCTCACACGATGTGGGCAATTTAGCTCGTTTAGCTAAATATCCCAGCCAACATGATGAATAAAGTTCATTTCGGTTCAAGCTTAACACTCCAGAAAAACAGAATTGTAGATTGAACGCTTTTATTCACCGTATGCTAAAGTTTTCAGCTTCCATATCGTCCATATATTCCTGAAAACGGTGAATACAAAATTGGTAATGGCCTTTGTAGCAATGGGATGAAAATCATGCCTATCTGTCCATCACAGAAGCGCCTGTGGCAGCGTTTTCCGTATCTATTTAATTATTAGCATTATTCACCATATATCTACATTGCTGTTTTCGGCCACTCATGGTTGCAGCTTGCACTCTTGAATGCCCCAAACAGATTGGAACAGTGAGTTCCCGCTCGCAGCTGCACGCTCCTGGAATATGTACCAGAATACCTCTCGATTCATTGTTTGGAGGAGTACTGGAACAATACCAGACAATCGCATAGAAATTCGCTCACCACGACAATTGCATCTTCATAGGCTATGCTGAAATTCCGCATCAGCTACTGAATTCAGTACTTCCACTCCCCCCCTCAAGAAGTTTGATGTTGCAATTTTTGTGTTGGATAACATATTTGATGTGTGAGATACCTGAAAGAGTGTTCAACGCTGCTAGACCCTGGAGGATTTCTCTTACAACATTGCCACGCCTGCTGCAAATCTTTCCAAGGTCAAACACGGCAGCAAAGCCGCGCTTGTGATTGCACGATTACAGCCTGATAATTGTCATAAGTGGTTAGTTTTCAGCAATTTAACATCACACCAGCACGAAAAGGCTCATTTTCCAGAACAGTTGGAATATCGCAGCACTGCAAATTAATAATTCTCGCACCAAATTTTGAGATTTTCTGCTGGAAGCGCGTCAACCACTTGTGATTTCGGCAAAAATTGATGCAATGGTATGAGTAAAGTATCACTGACGTAGCGCCGAACAATTGTGCATAAGGGGCAGTGTGTCAGTGTTGACACAACGCTGGCGCACACATCAACCCTTGCCAATGTTGGCATATCGGCAACTACTGAAGCATTGCTGGGTGGTGCATCAATGGGAATGCAGCCAGAATATTGAATCAATGTCTATCCTGTTCCCAGATGAGGATTAAATCCACTTTCTTGGGGACCCGGTCCGGTCAAGTTGATATCAACATATGAACGCACATATCTCTCATGCGCCTGAGATTCGCATCAAAACAGCCAACATTTGTTCAGCAAACAGACGTTCGGAGCCTCATCTGGGGGCTTGATGCGCAGCAACCCCCCAGATGAGGCTCTGAACGTCCGTTTGACAGCACGCTGTCCGTGCGCAAAAACAATGTGGGTGAGACCGCGCAGTCGCTGCCCCAGGTCTCGCGTTCGAATGCTCAGCTGCGACCGTGAGCAAGGTTCAAAAAGCGGAATGAGCGGGCAATTAAAAATGAAACAGCGCAGATTGTATTCTTTGAGTCAGCTAAATTCATTTGGCGCACTGGTGTTCGAAAACTGCACCCAACAACTCGGTGTCGCTACTACATTCGATGGGTCGTTATTTGTCATTGCCCGTCAGGGACAAAGGCGCGGGACGTATCAGTGACCATCAAGCCCGACCGACTGGCTGTGAAGCTTGGATGGTACGGCCGGGTGGTCGATGGCCCCCTGTTCAGGAGATGCAAGGCGTCGGAGTCCCTGTGGATTTTTGAGGGGGTCGAGGTTTACGTGATGATGCCGAAGGACGACGGTCACTATTGGAAGGGAGTCTTCGAGGGAGGGGAGGAAAAGAGCTATATGGAGGCAAGTCCCTAGTGTCGATAGCCTTTTCATCGCTCAAACATAGCTGGCTCTGCAGGCCTGGCAGTTTGTGGTGCAAAAGTGCGGCTGTGTTTATGGATATGATACCGCACCAGCCACGCATATAGTCGTGAGTGCGATGAAGTATATTGATGGGAAAGCGCTATTTCAAGGAGTTCTTTCCATGTAATACTAGCAGAAATTTTGAAAATCGCGCACTATCAGCACAAAACGTGTGCAACAGGACTATTGTTGTAAATAACATGGCGTGTTCCATACAGTTCATGCAATCTTTGCTGAAAGTCATGTGGACAACATGTGCGCATCTGTAATATACTATAGTACATGAAATCAAACGTTATGCATAACGGCGTGGTGCCGAATGTGGTGCCATTGCCACAGTTGACAAGTTGAAGGAGTTGAAAGATGCCTGGCATTCGGTGATTGCAGTCATGCAGTCACCGAACCCCACACGCATGGCATAGGCAATTTGCAGGTGTCGCCAGTAGTTGCTTCACCACTGAATCTGCCGGTAACGCCAAGGCGGGTGCAAGCTTGCATTGGAAGTATTGCAGAGCAACTTTGCACGTTTTGGCATGCGCGCCCAAGGTCACGGTGTCCACAGGGCTCCGTGGACTTTACATACATGCAATCGCGGCAAATATTTCCAAGCAGCAGTAGCAAAAGGGTAAAATAACCGGCAAATTTTATGATAAATGATGTAGGCTAAATGGGGTAAAAGCCTACTGAAATAGGAACATGGACTGTCGCTGTTGGGGCGAGTTGTGCTTTGTTCCAAAGTACTACATCACACTTAAGGATGTGGATTTTTCTGGTGGTCTTATGTACCCCACCACCAAACTCATTCCAAGGGCTTTAGGCGAACGCAACGTCAGCACTTCTGCTGACACCCCTCCCCCGGCCTGAAGGTGCTTCAGGACCTCGTGAGTGCTGACGAACCGGTGGTGCCATATGACGACCTGGACGACAGGGCGAAGGAGCTGATAGAGGACATACAGGAACGGCAACAGATGGTCCATGAGGGGCTGATAGATTTGGAAGGATTCGACGACTTCAGAGTCGTAATTGGAGAAAATTCCATGTAAACACCTTCCAAGCCTCGAAGAACAGCGTTCCCTTTTTTGCATCGCCATGGGGCTTTGGCGATAAACGAGGAGAAGAAACAAATAAATTTAGGATCGGCAATGGGAGTTACCGAACGCGGTATCATCATCAAAGTCCAAATTCAAATCCATTGAACGCGATATGCACTTGAATCAAAGCCACTGATAGAGCCGGAGAAAATCTTCAAACGGCCTGGAGTTTCGCGCGGACCGTCAGTCATCAAGGGAACGCTGTCCCAAAGAACTTGAGAGGCTGCGTTTTGGGAAGCATCTTTCCACAGGAGAACGCAGCCAAGGGTGAAACAATGGTTGAAGGCCAAAATTCACATCACTCCAACATCGCAACCAATACGTATTGTTTCAGCGTCGGTACAATGGCATGCAACTTTGTCCTGTTTGCCCATACTGTGATAATAACTACTAGGGCATTTGGCGCCAACCACATGGCACATTCAAATATGAACAGCAGAGGCGCACGGCTCTCACGACCAATGTACAAGCAAGCCTCAAATCGCCAATATTTATGTCATCCTGCTGCCTGACTGCGAAGCTGAAAAGCACAAATTTTCCTGAATAAACAACGTAAAGTGAGTTCAAATCAACTTTTTCCATTGTTGATCGGTTTTAGTGGTGGCAGTGCCGGAAGCGACGATAACCAACGAGCAGTGCTTGGATGCCCACCACTAACAATGCCTACCACACAAGGTATGATGAAACATAAAAGTACGCAGTCGTGGGACGGCGCCAAAGAGAGGTGCAGGTACGGTAAGGGCAAAAATGCAATGGCATGGTTAATGATTTCACGTTCGTCCTCCCCATTGATCGCACGTGGTCCATGACTACTTAATGACAAATAGAAACTATGAACGCAGCAATATATTGCCATTTTCACCCAACAGCGGGAGCGAAGAAATGCACGTTCTACGTGGACCCAGTAGTTTCTTTGGCTTTCACTGTTTGCTGCTAGCACAGTCCAGGCCGTGTCTGAAAGGCATTCTTTGATGGAAAACGCGTGTCTCGGAAATCCCGTCGAAGCAAGCAACAGCGACCCAACCGTGCCCTTTGGGGCCGCCATGGCTGGGTGAACCCCACAAGCTGCGACTAGTTGTGATGATTCCAGACGTCACAGTCGCAGGGCCCCATCACTGTTGCTGCCTTGTTGCCGAAATGTCTCCTTTGCTGAGCAGGTTTGTGTGCGATCCTCCCGGGAACCAAGCAACAGCTCCAGGTGTACGCAAGAACTTCAAGAAGAGGACTGCAGCACTGACGTTAGGTCGCTCTTTGCGCAGCTTTGGACAAAGAGCAAGGCAACATGCACAAACTCGCGAGATTCAACATCAGACGCGAACAACCCATTTCCAGGCTGAGCGTCGTGCCGTCAATCCACCCTGAGAGACGTTGCAGACAAAGGCAAGCAGACACCCGTCAGCTCCCTCCTTTGCCCGATGCAAAAGAGCCTCCGTGTGGACGCTCTTTCTCCAACAAACGGAATCGCTCACGACCCCGTTCGTTGAATTCCCACATTGCTGACGACCTCATTCAAATATAATCTATGGCAACAAAAAACGAAATGACCGCAGACGCCGCTTTGCTCGGGCATTATAGGAACGTGACGGCTGCCGCATTGCCTTGTTATGCAAAAATAATGATGATGACGACGACTACGTCCCTGTACATTAGCCATCGCACCACCACCACCCGCCCCGGTCATCGTATCATCGTATCACACTTACGTGTCCCCAGACGGGCCTGGTCCCCTTGGGCGTCACGTCACCCCAGTGCCCCAGCCAGCTGAGCCCCACCCCACTCCCACTCCTACCCCCCAGTTGCCTTGCGCTGGGAACCGACACCTCCTCCTCCCCCCCTGGCCGCACCGCCCAACCCTGCCACCCACCGGTTCCCCTGCCCACCCAGCCCTACCCCCGAGCCCTCAGGCCCTCCCGCAAAAGCACCGGCCCGCAAGGCTCGCGTCCGGATCCCCATTCCCCGTTCCGCCCATCCTCGGACGACTTTCCACCCTCCCGGTGATCAGGCTACCGCCCCGCCGCCTCGATCGCGGCCCGCGAGCAAGCCGGTGGCATCCGACATCGCCCGGCGCCGGTCGCCGCGGCGGGGATAGGCGGGCAGGGCGGAGGGCGGGCCGGTAGGATTCCGAGGCGGCGATGGCGGAGCCCAGGGTGAAGGCCCTCGTGACGCCGCTGGCGCTGCCCGACGGCCCGGGCTTCTTCGCGCCCAGCGAAAACTCCCTGCGGCGGCGCGGCGATGCGGGCCTGGACCCGCAGGCCTCGCCCGGCACGGTGCGGTCGCTGGAATCTGCGTCGTCCAGCGTCGAGGACTTCGTGCGCGAGAGCCTGGCCAGCCTGGAGGAGCGGCTGGAGGGCGTGCTGGACTGCATGTCCGAGGAGCTGAGTGGGGAGGTGTCGCGCGAGCGGCAGCACCTGCTGCTGATGCAGGAGCAGGTGGACAAGCAGGGGCGGATGCTGCAGCACGAGTTCGGGGAGATTCACAAGGTGAGGGGGAGGTTCACAAGGCGGCGGGGCGCGGCTTATGCGCATTTTGAAGCACAGGAGAATGCGGATCGAAAACGCCCGCGTGGGACCGCACGACGCGGCCGCCGCACGGCTGCGGCCTGTTGTGCCGATGCCGCGCCTAGTGGGGTGCTTGGGGCCGGCTGTGCGTTGGCGCGGGCGCAAATCCGCGTCGCCTCTGTGGGTCCTTGGCGATGGGAGACCTCGGGATGCCTTCTGTTGGGTGGAAGAGAGCCCTGGGCCAGGGTTGTTAATGGGGAAGGAGGGGGGCTGCCGAATGGCGCGTTTAGCCTTCCGTTGGAAGACAATTTGTACCCAAGGCGGTGCGCACGGCGGGGGTGGCATGGGCAACGAAGGGCGCGGCGGGGCCCTAAGTGGAGACCGCCGGGTCGCGAAACGCCCCGCCTTCGAACGGGAAATTGACGATTGGCGCGTGCGGGCGCAGGCGATCGAGCAGGAGCGAACGGCGAGGGCGCTAGTGCAGCAGGGCGCGCGGGAGCGCGGCGACAAGATCTCGGCCAACCTGTCGGCGATCGCAAGGGAGCTGGAGGAGATGCGGACGCTGGTGAGCCGCGTGGCGGTGGCGGAGAGCAGCGAGGGGTGGCTGACCCGGCTGGCCAACAGCGTCTGGCTCCTCTTCCGCCAGTGCACCGCCGACAGGTCGTACACATCCCTGCCCTCGTCGTGACCGATGGCGATCGTCGTGACGCCGGCCGGGCCGGAGGCTCCGGGCGGGCGCGCCGGCGATCTCGGCCCGGGCAAGTTTTGTTGATCCTGCGGACGCATTCTGTCCGCACGGGGCCAGAACCTGGCGGTGTGGCGCCTTGGAAGCAAAAAGGCGAAGGAGGAGATTTCCTGCGTTTAACGTTGCGACAAAGATGTGCTTGTCAGTGTCGTGGTTCGTCAAAACGCAGATAGAACAGAACAGCAGAAACAATGCCTGTTGGCCGCGTCCTGGGACGCGCCTGTCTGCCTCACACCGGGGCGCCTTGGAAGCGGCGATGGGCAAAAGAACATTGGGGACTGCGGGGCGCTGAAGAGTGGGTGTGGGTATGGGTGGGAGGAGCTTTTGGAGGTGGTGGAGCTGTGCGTCGGCACGACCTTGGTTGTTGCTTGAGTGCATGGGCGACCACCGCCCCACTACCAGGGAAGCAGGCAGTGCGTGCCTCTCAGCCCTCCCAGCAGCCAAGCGAGCCTGCGCTGGTGTCTTGGGGCTCGGATTGTGACTGTGGGGGGGCAATGTCAGTGATGGGGCGGGGTTGGGCGTAGGAGGTGCTGAGGAAACAGAGACGGCTATAGTGTTTTTTTGTTGCGGTTTTGGCTGGATGCTTTGGTTCGGTTGGCTGGCATGTGGGATGTGTGCAGTGGGTGGCCCAAATCCATATCAGGAGTGCCGGAAACTGAAAGCCGAGCAAAGTGGGAGGCGAGCAGGATCATAGAACCTGTTCTAGAATGAGCGATGCGTATGCAGTTTCCTGCCAGCTCCATTGAAACTCTTGAAGCCCACAGATTTCATTGTCCCTTTAGGCCCAGGAAGCACAGCCAGAGTGGAGCACAACACAAACCCAAGGTCCATGCTCTGGTTAGCTCTGGCCGGTTTCCTGTCTCAAACGGCTCTGGACTCTGGTTCCAACTTTTTCAAGTTGTTCTTCATAGCCAGCATGAAATGTGACAGCACACTGATCCCGCATTACCATTGTGCACTTCACTGACTGCTTGCTGGCAAATAAGGTGATGGCTACAACACAACTTAGAGTTGTAAGCTGTTTGCAATTCCTGATTTGAAGACGAGGTGCATTCAGGTCTGTTATGCTTGTCATCGAGTGAGCCATTGCATTTGATCTGCTGCACAGTTTCATGGGATGTGGGTGGCTGGGTGGGGCGTGTGTATACAAGGATTCGTGCATCCTACATGAACATGCTTTGCATACGTGCAATTCAAAGATTGAAAGAGGAGATCAGCTTCTACATATCTGCACAAGGTAGCCGAATGCTCCCTGTTTAACGCAGGAAAGACAGTTTCAATGGAATGCACTGCAGACAAGCTTTCGGTCAAACCTTGAGGTTTGGGCCTCTGGAACTCATGGCTATAAATGAAATGCATATGTTGTGGCTTGTCCGAAAGTAGCACACATATCGAAGCAGTCTGCCCCCTCCATTCGAGCGTCTGGCATACAACTGACAGCCCTCAATCAACCTGCATCTCTTCAACTCGGCTGTCGTTAGTGGAAATTTGAGAGAACTAGGACGGTGAAGTGGCAAGGACGGTGCCCCACAAGACATGAGTTCATTGGAGCGACCGCCGCGTGTCAGCCAGGCGACGCGAGGAGGGCGCGAAGACGGTCCGGCCAATCTGCGCAAAACGGGGGCTCTGCCATTCTGGGATTCCATCCGCCCTTCCACAGCCGCTACGGGCACTCGATTTTGCGACGCACGTTCCGCTTGACTAACAGTACGCCCCGTCGCGGCAACAGTTCCCCTCCCTTCGACGGCGACGACCAGCAACACCAAACATGTTCCACGAAGCCTGTTCGCCATGCTCCACAGGCCCCATCGCCGGTGATCGGTGCCCAGTTGGACAACTCCTTGCAAGCCATAAAGCCCCGTTGGCCCCATCGTCGAGCTCCAAGTAGTGGCGCACTGCCTCGCGCCTCGCACCACATTGCGGGGCCGTCCCCAGGGCCGCCTGCGGTGTCTCGCTGCTGAGGCGCACCGCCGGCAGCCCGCTCCTGCGCGCCTCCAAGGGTTGCCGGCGGGGAGCGCGCAAAGCACAAGCGCACAGGCTTGCAGCGTCGGAAAGACGTCAGGCACGCGCCGCCTCTGGCCCCGCACCCAGGCAAGGCTTACCGCATGGCGACAATGTTGCGACTTGCAGCACGTGCTGACCCCCCCCCCCCCCGCCCCCGTGTCTGATGCAGGAGCCCCCGACCCGTTCGAAAGGCCAGTCTTCCCCCCCAAGCGCTAGCTGAGGCCCCTCCCACCCCTTTCGCCCCTTGATTAGAAAGGGAGCGAAGTTCGTCATTCTGTGCCCAGAGGTGGGCCCGGTTCCGCAGATCCCGGGCCGCGCGTCTTTCGGAGCTGGCAGACAGCAGCAGCGGTATTTGGGATCGGCGCTCGCGCGCTCGCAAGGCGCCCAAGCGCATCGCCCAGGGCTTGGAGCACAATGGCTTGTGCCCCAGCGCAGGTCACAATTTTGGGTTAATTGTAAAACGGATTCTGTATTACATGCATTAAATGCAGGAATGGCATGGCACATCACATGTCCACTTCCAGACTGCACGGTGACCCCCCATATCGACCATGTCCCAGTCCAAGCGCGCTGGAACTTTTATTGCGCACATCAACATCTTTTGGGACAGGCAAGGGGCGGGTGAAGAATGTTGCGTGGTGGCCACTGGAGTGAGTCACATGCCAGCCGAGCGGCAGCAGAGCCGAATCAATGCGATTCTGCCTAGAACGCCGGAAGCAACTGCAGCAAATCGCCACTGTTCATGAATAATATCTGCAGCCTCGTCTCTCACAAGTAGCGCACTTGTCAGGCTGTTCCATGACATTTTGCATGCTGAGGACAGAGTTGGGGTTAAAGGATGCGCAAAGGACAGGATCGCACCAATCCAAGGCTTGCCCTGGTGTGCCACCGCCGCCGCCCATGCCCCTCAGATGCCAGCACGGCTCGGGCCAATGCTTGAGCTCTGCGGTCGTGAGAGCCGTTCTGCTGCCGTCCCAGCGGAAGGGCCTCGATGTGTTCACCTGTCAACTGCAAAACGCACGTGCGTGCCCTTCCAGGACTGCCCTACACGGCCGCCAAAATGCGCGTGCTTCGTTCACGCTCAAACTCCTGGCGGCAAGAGGCTCAAGAGGCCACGGTGCATGCAGAGCCAGGTCGGATGCGGTCTGGACCCGATGCAATCACCAGGGCCCCTCCCCTCGCCTCGGCGAATGCCACACACAGGGCCCCGGTGCAAATCGAATTCGGACAGTTTTAAATTGAGATGCAACCTCAGCCATTGCTATCTGCAGGTGCCAATCCCACAGGTATCCCAAATCTAATCGACGGGCCTCCCGGTGGAGCCCTCGGTGCGGGCTGGGTGGGCAGCCCCTCCGCCCCACCACGTCGCAAAACTCGACGCCGCTGAGTGCCGTCGAAAAAGTGAAAAGATTGTCAATCCTCCGTCTCGTCTGCAACAGCTCCCAGGCTTGCCCCAAACCAGCCGTTAATTTAGCACCCACCCGCAAAATTCATTCGTTCGTGTGGCTGGGGCACGGGGTGGCCTCCACAGTGCAATGCCCCCAGGCGTGGAGGCCCCCGGACGCCTGACTCAACCCGAGCGCAGTCCTAAATTTCCAATCCCTACCATCACTCGCAGTTAGTAACCCCAACCCCCGTTCCCAAACGGCAAACCTATAGATAGTGGTGCGAATTCGGGGGTGCAGCACACCAAACGCATTGCACACCACTTTCGCGATTTTATGATGACCCCCAGGGATCTCAAAATCAACCTGGGCACACAAGTGCCCAGAGGCACAAAACTGAGGGCATCCCCAAAACCAATATAGTGTACACCGCCTCGAGTCACCCAATTTGGAAGAATGTGAGCACAAAACCATTCGCTGTCGCTGCCTAGCAAAAGGGTCGTTACCCGCGCACTCCGCTCAGGGCTCGTCAAAACACCCTAGCATCGGGCCGTGTTGTATCCTCCGCAGCCCTTGCACTTGTGACCAATGAAATGATAGCAGACCTGGCGAGGAGCCAAGCACAACCACACTCAGAATCCCTCATTCATCACACGTACATACCACTATCATCGCCTTCCACCCACCATGACGACCTCGTCAACGACGAAACGTGGTATCGAAAGATGTGTGGACATCCAGCACCCCTAACCGGATACCAGATTTCGAGTCACACAAGAGCTCAGAATCGCTTCTCACCGCTTTGGGTTACTGCAAACGTTGCCAACAAACAAAGCTGCTCAACTGCCAGCAGCAACAGAGATAATTTTTCTGCAATCTAGATAACTTCCTGGCACCATGAATTCTACAAATGGGGAAATAGGCTCCTGCTGCTGCTGATGGGACACTGCACTGGCTGCACAATGTTTGAAAGGATGTACAGGTGTTCAGTATGGTGGACAACAGAATGGAGATGTACTTGGTAGCAGCGAAGAGAATGCAAGAACTTGAAACAGTGTAATGGGTAACGAGGGCAACTGCAACAGTTCTGTTCACTGTATTTAGCTGCAAGATCAGCCCAGACTACCATTACAGCATGTCAAGACCTCACCCCATGGACAACCAAGCAGCAACAAGATTCCCGATAAAGAGCTGCCTGAGGTACCTAACACACTTACGAGTATATTGGAAGGGGTTATTAGAGGATGATGTGCTCCGCAGTGACAAGTCATTGTGCATTACAACACCAGCTTCGCAGCTGGTGCTGCATATCAGACATTACAACAACTTAACGAGCATTGTGAGGTCTTTGGAGACTGCTAGAGAAACACATGCTGTCCATTGTTCTGAAATCAGCAGGGCAATGTGCCATTACCAGTGCGTTGAATTTCATGCTGCTGCATTGGATGCATCTTTCATCAAACAACACAACAACAGTGCTGACAACCAATCAAAGCGCACGTCCTGCTGCACATTCAATATTCAAACCAGCAGCTGCACCCTCACGGGGATGGCCCAGAATAATGACAGGCCTGGGATAGATTTCCACCTCTCACCTCACTGCGTTCGTGACAGTCATTGCACACAATGCGAACCATCTTGTTTGCGTACTCCTGCGGCATTGGCATGGACTGGACCTAAGAGCAAGAGCAGAAAGACAATTGGTTACATTGTCATCTACAGTGTAGCATGAGGAGAGTCCACGATCAGAGAGTGGGGCCCTGCAACGGATACCACATTGGCACCTCGCCTAATCATTTTATGGTGCAGGGATGTTGGCCTGCTGGTGCCATTTTAGGGTGCTGAAACTGGAAGCTGCCAAATCGGTGCTATTATTCTCCCACACAACCATCCATGCAAAGATCACAAGAGAACATCAAATAGAGAAGACAGATCGAGAAGGAACATTCAATGTCATGGAAACACACAAATTGCAGAGGGGAGCAGAGGCGGCCAGTGCTGAAGTAATGCATTTCCACAAGGTAACATATCCAGCAGAGTCAGCAACATCAGGTTGACAGTCCAGGCCTCCAACCTTGGCCTGAAAGAGGCACACAGACTCGGAAGCTGGAAACGGCACTCACGGCGTCATCCATCTGCCTCCACATCCAGGACATGTTGTCAGACAGTGTCTTCTTGCAGATGGGGCAGTAATTCTGGTTGTAGTCTAGGAGCTGCTCCAGGCAGTCCTTATGGATCGTGTGGCCACACCGCAGCACTGAGATGTTCCTTATGGAGTCGAATAGGTACTCATAGCACACCGGGCAGTTGCGGTGCATGCTGTTCTGAATGCAGACATGAGATCCCTGCATCGCCAGCAACAGACCATCAAACCTGGCAAGCGTATGGGCATTTAAGGGAGGTGGCTAAGGAGACAGCCCGGGATCAGTGACATTCGTCGCTCCATCAGCTCCAAGCGACCCTTTTTCCTGATTGCCCCAGAGAGAGAGTTGTTGCAGCGTTGATCTGTCACTGCAACTGACCCAACAGGTTCTGCCACGATCAAGGCATTTCAAAACCCTCCAGGTGCGCCGGAATCACCCCACAGACAACAGCAAGCAGGGCGTTGACGAACGAAACAACCCGCCGGCAGAGGACCGCCGCAGACCAGCCCTGATCGACACCACCCCGCGGATCCACACGGCAAGCTTCTCATCCCGTCGCGCCCCCCACCCACGATCCCCCTCCCGCACCCGCATGTCGTTGTGGTAGCAGCAGTTGCATATCTCGCAGTGGAAGTAGTTCTCACGCCCGCCCACCCTGCATATCCCGCACTGCTCGCAGTGGTACTGCTCCTTGCTGGTGTCGTCATCGAAAAAGTTGCACTCCATGCAGGAGTACCGCCCGAAGGCCACCCCGCAGCCCCTGCAGGACGCCGCCACGGGCTGGCGCTCCCCGCACAGCTCGCAGATCACCTCCTTCACCGCCTTGCGGTCCAGCCTGTGCATCTTCTTCGGGTCCTGCCAACCCACATGCGGCGGTTGGCATGGGCGCCCGCCCCTCCCCGTCCACAAGGCGGCACAGCGATCGCGCGGCTTGGCAACGTGACCGCCCTTCATTCTCCGCGCGCAGACTGCACCCGAAAGGGCGCACGCCGCATCGCCGAGGTCAATCGACGAAGCAAAGGCGCCGACCAGCGTTCCAACGATCATGGGCGTCGCTCATCCCCGGGCTTCGATCCCCCGGAATCAATCCCTACCCAGGCGCCGCGGCGGGAGAAGGCCCCCGAGATCGACGCCCGAGGCCCTGCCACGCCTCAGAATCCCGCTGCCGTTCCCCCCACGCGTCGATCGCACCTGCCGATGGCCCTCAACGCCCCCCCCCCACCTTCCCCCCCCGCTCACCCACCACGCCCACCCACCCTCTCCCCGTCGCTCTTCGCCGCGTCGTGGCAGTGGCGGCACCAGAAGACCTCCCCGCAGCAGGGTGCAACGATCCTGCACCGCCGCCGGTAGTGCGCGCAGCCGTGGGCGCCACCGCACTCTGCCATCGACTCACGCCCGCCCCACAGGCTGGAGAAGTCGTTGGCCATCCCAACCCCGTGGCTCTCCCCGGCCGATCGCGAGGGGGGGATGCGGGCAAGGGCGGGGCAGCGCGGGAGGCCGGGGCGGGGCCCGCCGGCGCCTGTGGCTGGGCCGGCGGTGCGGCGTCCGCGGGGCCTTCGGCGGCGTGGCCGTGGGTGACGGGGGTGATGGCGGGGATGAGGTTAGAGATTGAAAGCGGGGGGAGGGGGGGGGGAGGCGGCTGGACGGACCTGGATGGACTGACCCCTTTGACGGGCCAACGGGAGGCGCGGGGGGGCGTCCTCCTTGCGGGGGTGTGCTGCGGGCTTTGAGGGTCTATTTGGTAAGCCAAGAGTCAACGTGTGCGGGCAGTAACTACACAGTTGAGAATGTATTAGTCCTTTTGTCTTTCCCGTGAGGTTCCCTTCTTCATCCGCTACCAAGGCCAACATGGGCCAGTGGGTCAGGGTGTCGAAACAAGAAGGGATCTTCACGGAAAAGACGGAGCCACTGATTTCGTGTCGCGTTAGTTTGCGCGTGCGGGCCATGGGCGTTTTTCAGTTCGATGGTGGAGACGATGCGAGACCGGGGTGAAATTTGTTACAAATAGGTAAAGGAAAGGGTCATACAAGGGCCACCCCCTCCGAAGCAAGTGTGTATGCGAGGCTCTCTTCCATGCTGATGCCTGACGGGCATCGAACCGGGTAGCTCTGGACGGGATGTACCACTGCTCTACCAAACCGCCTGGCCAGGAGTGAGGAAGGAGGCGATCCAGTCCCTTGAGTGCCCTTCCGCCCAACACTGGGCTCTGGGCGGTGGGCTCCCGGTGGATGTGCCGATGATGCGAATGGCTGTTTGCGACAATGAGGAGAAATGGGATGAGCGTTTGTTGTTTCTGTGACGAACGGAGAAAATTAGCGCCCTGCTCGTTGGAGAATGCGTGCGAAATCTGCGACGTGAGTGGATAGCTCTTTGGAGAAAAGGGAAGGCGGTGCCAAGGTGAACCAGCAGAGTATGTGTTTCGATTCGCGTGGTGCATGCATGTTTGGGATCCATTGTTGTGTAGCAGCACTTTTGGCGGGCCATTCCCTGCGCCTGGGTAGCTGATGGCACGGACGGACAAACGCGCACAAGTGCAACGTCACAGTGACACTGTTCATCAGTATTGTTTTCCTTCTTTGTATTACGTTTCCGATACGGAATGAGTTTTTCTTTGGAAACACGGGTACTGGCGATGTGGGGCACCAGTGGCAACATCTGTGTTTGGCAGCCCCACAGATTGCAGGGTTGGCAGTTTGGTTCCAGCAGGCTTGCTGTTTACGTTTGCACTTACGCTTACGTTTTTTCGTCAACGTTTTTTCGAGTAAAACCGTAACCGCACACAAGCGGCCAGTTTCGAAGATGTATTACGTATTTATTGGGTGCGTAGGGACACTCGGGTTACTTGGCGAGCTCGCGTACAATGACCAGTCCTCTCCCCCTTCAAGCATGCGCAACACGCCGTCCACCTCGCCCTTGGCAAGGGCAGCGACGCCTTCAAACAAAAGATCGTTTTCTCCCCACTCCAGCCCGTCTGGCTGCCACTCCTCGGACTCCATGAGTCTGTGTGTGCTTTATTTATATACACGAGGCCTGCACTTGTGTGCATTTATGCATGTTTACATGTAACGACGCAAATACTACATTTACACATAAAAGCGTGAATACGAACTGTGTTTGCGCTGTTATGTAAGCCTGGCTTTTAGCCCGCGAAGCATTGGGCAAATTACGGTGGCGACCATAGTCTCCGTTTTGGGCATATCCCCGGAGGGGGCTTCCCATCCATCGGTGGACGGTGATGGATGCCAATCACCCAGAAACTGCTACTATTATGGTGTTAGTGTGAACGTGCCATCCGATTACCAGGTGCAATGGATATGGCAGTACCTCGGAGTCCGAGGTCCGAAGAACGCGCGACTCATTCAAGAACATTGATTGCTTCCGCGCTTGTGTCGGATCCGGGAATGTGGCACCCCATGGCGGCTGCCGTTCACGTGGATCCACGTGGACCACGGAGACGTGACGGGGTCCCGCCCCCGCAGTCCTGCATGGTTAGAGCTGCCGACGCCGAGCAGGCTAAATCCCGAAGATGGCGCCCGTCGTGAGGGGTGAAGAATACGGCCCTGGGGAATGTATTTGTCGCCATGTCGTCAATTTCCGGAATCCCAACCGTCCAAGCGATCCGCCAGGACTTTCTCAGCGCTCAATGCTCTGGCCTTGTGCGGGCCCTTTCCGAATGCGTGCCGAGTACCGTCTGCACAAAGGAAGCGAGAAAAGTCAGAGGGCGCAACGGCGCAAGACTGGCCAGCATTAGCGGGACGCGCCCGCGCGACACGCGGGCGACAAAAAATGGTCAACATGAGGTCAATCCTTCCTGACCGAGAATCAAGGCGCGCTGCAGAAGCACCGCCCATGGGGAAGATCGAAGCTCGGGCCCGTGCGCTCCAGCCCGCCGCTGTCGCCCATTGCCAAGGGCTGCACTGCTCGGCTCAGCTGGGATAACCTGCCGCCCTGTATCGTGGTTCCATGCGGCCAAGGGAATGGCGGAAGCCCTGAAGACCCTGCATGACCCCTGGCCGCCGGACATATACGACCGCCCGGACATGTGTCCGGTGGACGCCATTTTGAAGAAGTATGACAGTGCCAGGCACTGGGAGGCGGCTTTGTTGAGCCCGCGGCGGATTGAAAGGTCGGAAGACGATTGCATCCTGGAAGCGAAACTTTCCGCCATTGTGTGTCCATCCTCATTCCACGAATCTTGAGAAACTGATCGCATCTATCTGAAGAGCTGTGTCCCCGCCATCATCACCATCAGCATGATAGCAAAGTCCTACACTGCAAGGCAAGATGGTACCCGTCAGCTTCTTATTTTGCTGGAGCAAAGCGGTGTCCACGAGTCGTTCATTGAACCATGCCCCCGTTAGTCAACCCAAAGCCAGTGCAGTCGCTGGGTAGGGAGTACGCATCGGCTTATCACTTCATACAGCAGTGTTGCCGAAATGCAGTCGATGCATCACAGCTAGAACTGCCCATAGCAGATTAGTGCATTCCAACATCTTCCACACTGGTGCAATCTTATAATCTGAAGTGTGATTTTGTAGCCCCGGCATATTACTATAACCCATGACATATTGAATTGAGCGCCGCGGGTTGTTCATAAACCAATGAGTACGCACTCGCTCGCTGTTCATGTCGCAAAAGTACTCAGGAAAGTCAGGAAAGACAAGGACGCGGCCGTCGACTCCACACTTCATCCCTCGAAGCGGAGCCAACGATATGTTTAGCACAGCCCAGGACATTTCAGCAGCCAATCCCATAAGTCGCACATTCCAAATTCCCCGCATGCATGTTTCGTGATGATGTTGGCAGTCCGGAAGAGGTTTTCAATGATTTGCACATGAGTATGGGACCGTTCACGGATGCGTCCACAAGCCGGTACGTTGGTCTGCACTACGGGACAAGGGGGCGTCCGCGCGGCTTACGAGCGGCTCAGATGCGTCAGAGCGCGTCCGAGCGTGCTATTGGCACTGTCGGAGGCACTGCAAAAGGCCCCCAGAACGTCCGCGCACTAAGCGGAAACTTCCGAGCGCCTCAGGAGCGTCCGAGGGCGCGGAGCCCGGAAAAAGCGCGGACGCTTTTCCTGTCTGCGCGTGGCGCGGACGCATCGGACGCCTTTTCATTGCGCTCGGACGCTCTGTGCACGGACATTCTTTTATCGTCCGGAGGGCGCGTGGAAACCGTCCGGGCGCGGACGCTGTCCGGAGGGTGCGCGGACACATTTGTCTATTGTTATTAGATCTAGTGACTCGCCACACTCAGGCAACATGACGTTGCTGCCGGCTCCGCAGCGCGAGTACGTGTGTGGAGCATGCAAAAATGCGTCATCACTGGCAATCACGCAAATGCTTGCTCCCCGTTGTTGTTTGTCTCCGTGCCCTGCAGTGTCCGACGTGTGCAATATCCTGGGCGCGCTGCTGGCGTAAACTCTCCTGTGTTTGTTAAACCAGTGTTGTTAAAATCGGTTGAGAATGTAATGGCATTGAGCATTTTGGACGAACCATAATCCAAAAATTATCAAGTTCACCAAATTTCTGTGTGCTTGTGTGAATTGTGTTAAAACTTCTGCATGGCGTGCATCAGAGATGTTCCACATTGTGACCACGCAGTCCAATCGGGACACTCAGTTTGCCGTTGCTTACCAGCGCATTTTACTCACCTGTTTTGGCATGTTCAGCAATTTACATCTACTGATCCACACCTTATAAACCGCAGTGACTGGTGCCGTCCAGGGAGCATTCCAAGTCCGTGGCCTCAACGCCGCGCGCCGCTGGACAAAAAAAGGAGGGAAAGGGTGCGCAATTCAACCCTGTTTCGGCGAAAGCCGTGTGATGCGCAGGATTTTGCAGTGCCGCTTTCTTCCAGCGACTGCACAGTTCCGCACAGGCTTCGCGTCGCCTCCCGACCGCGAGGCACGCTCGCTGTCTCCTTGGGTCGAGGTGGCACGGCGGCACGTGCAGCGGTGCGCCTTTCGCATCACGTCACCCAAACGTCGATCACTAGGAAGAAAAGGGCCAAACAACACGTGTTCAAACGTGTGCAAAGCTTACGGGTTTGTTTTATTATTGTGTTCTTAGCGCGCAGAACGTTGATGAAATGTGTTTTATGTGTGTTCGCAAAAGTGTTATTCGGCCCTTTCTTTCCTAGTGGATGGCATCCCGCAATGGCGCGGGCTCGATCAGGCGACGGTGTCGACTGTGCGCACAAGCCGTGCACCGCCGGCTGTGGGATCTGGACTTGCAGATAGTGCGTGTCGGCATTTGCGGAAATGGGTCACATTTGAACTTTGATTGGTGCGCACTGCAGGGACCGCGCGTGCGGCAACCGCAGGCGCTGCCCCAAGCCTAATAGGTGAGCGACTTGGACAGCTGCCATGCTCTTGGCCAAGGCATCCTCTGCGCCGTCTTGGCAACAAAAAGGCACCCGAGACAGCAACTTGTTGTTCGGATCCATAACGACCATGAGGACGGGCGCCCCACCACACAACAAAATGCAGAAGTTGGGCAAATGGGCGCGTATCGCAGCCCTCCCCAACGCAGCCTTTGTCCATACGGTTCTTTCTCAGACGTTAGACAAACGCAAGCGTGAGACTGAGGTACAGGTTTTTGGAATCTCACGCCTGCGCTCGCCGTCATGACCAACCTTGCCAGTGGGCAGGCACCTAGCAAGGCCGCGGTAGACAAACACCCAAGCTTCGTTTGCTTGGGTGCGGCGTGCCAGCTCATGCTTTAATTTTCGCGGTGCACACCAGAAAACATGGAAAGGAAGGTTTGAGAGTGGCGCCTTTGCCCTGGACGCCTAGGAGGCGGTCGGCATGCACCCACAGTTGCAACTCCCCTGACATTTGACAACGTGCAGATCAGATCCGCAACGCCACCGAAGATGCCGCCACATGCCGGAAACACACCAGCTTCTTTTCAAAAAGCAGGTGGCACAGCCTTCCCCCTTCGACACGGGCAGCCGAGAGCTCCATCCTTGATGTGGCGCTTCTGAAGCCGCCCACTGAAACACATCAGGTATGCACGTGCGCAGGGGGAGGCTTTGCCGCGAGCAGGACGCTGACTCAAAAGGATGGCCACTCTGGATGTCTTCGCAGGGATCCAGGGGGACAGCCCCCGCAGATGGAGGTTTGTTTCTCCAGGTCGGGCCCAAGACGGCCTGGGACTACGGGACCGCTACCGGTGAAGGCCACGTTGCACCCAAACGGAGGTGGCTGCACAAGGGTAAATGGGAGACCTGCTTGTCCCACGGCGTGTCTGTCCCTGCGTATCTGTCTCGGGTGCTCAGAGAGGACCGGGCCTCAACATATCGGTGGCTGCTCTTGGAGTCCCCCGGCCAGGCTCTTCACAGGCTGCCATTCGCCCTGCTGCAATCCACACGGCGGCCTCTGCAAGAAATGATCAGAACGTGGTGTGATTTGAATCAGTAAGCGAAGGCAATATGTCGATTTTCGGTCGCTTAGCGTCAATTTGACTCTGAGGGTTGGGGGTTTTCCAGACCTGTGACGCTAAGAGATTAGCGAATTGCCACAAAATCGATACAAGGTGGAGTGATGCCCCTGAACGCCGCTGATCAGCAGCAACACACTCACGGCTTGTTCCTGAACCTCCCTGAACTTTTCAATCTTCAAGAAAGGCCTTATAATGCAATAGTTACAACCATTGACGCTGCCCGCCTTGCTATCATGGCTTTTAAAACATCTTTTTGCAGGCCCCCCAAATTTTTGCAACTCTTACCGTTCTGTCTCGTCGAAAACACCTAAAAGTTGTATACCATTGTTGAGTGATGTTGCCCTGGCATCGACGTAAGAATTGACCCTCGTAGATGGGGTGGTTGACTGAGTTTAACGTGAAATTGACGCTAAGCGTACAGAAATTGACATAGTGCCCTTCACAAGATGGCCTGAGGAGACTCTCTGAGAGCTGTGTGGCAGCGATGAGGAGGGATTCAGCATTCTCATGGTTGACGAGAAATATTAATGGAACTTCGTGACAGTCATGCATGTTGGTGCAGCTCATCGACGTGGCCACCAACGCTGTGGTGAGGAGCGTGCGCGGTCTGGCCCCACCCCTCAGGGCTGTCCCCGCTGCAAGCCGATCTGTGCGAGGGTTCCGGCACTCGCTGCCGCCATTCATACCACCACGCCCGGCACAGAGAGCACGCCTGGGCATGCCGCCTCCCAAGGCAAAGCCCAGGCCGGAGCCCTGCCCAACTGTCAAGTTGGTGCCCAAGGGCGGCGGACCATCGGTGGGGCGGCAGCACCAATGGACAAGCTGTCAGCATGGTAAATTCGACACAAGTGAGGAATCCGGCCTTGAGGATGTGTTCCGCTTTTCTCTGGATCTTGACAAAATCGTGGAATCTTTCGCCGAGGTTTGCCCACGTGAAGAATGGAAAGGGTGTGATGGGCCGTGCGTGGGTGCCAAAGCCTGACGGGCCTGCGGCGTGGTGCAACAGAACAGAAGGTCGCACAAAAGGGCGCCAAGGTCTTGGCCACACTGCCACCTCACCCAGGGTCGATGCCCCGATGCAGTCACGGGAAATGGCTGCCAAGGATATTAGCCACTTGCTGGCCAACAGTTTCTTGCACGTACAAAGTTCTGAGCGCGTTCGCTTGCCTTATATAATTCACGGAATTTATCTCCTCCGAGGCTGCAGCTTGAGAAAGCGAAAACAAGGGCATCTGTGCCAAGGGCCCCACAAATTATACCCAGCTACGAGCCTCCGAACTTCGAAGACATGATCTTCGCTATCCGTGCTGTTTCTTCATCAGCGTATTTCCGTCTGCCAGCGCCAGCTCCGGTCGGACCCTCCCGCCCCCTGCCGGCACCCCTATCGTCTGCATCCACGAATATGCCCCCCCCCGCCGCATGGCCGGTCTCAGGCGTGCGTACCGCGGTGGGCACCATCCCAACCTGCACAGCGGACGTGCCAGCACTGGCTATTGCCAGCGCTTCAGGCGGGCAATCTGTGCTGGCCTCAGCATCGTCGCTCGTCTGAGCCTTGCGGGAACGGGGGCGTTCTGCCACCCCAGCCGCTTTCGTCCCAAGCCTCCCCCCAGTCTGAGCAGTCCGGCTTGGCGGTGGAGTGCTCCCACCAGCTGCCGCAGCCTGCTCTGTGGTCTCTGACGCTTTGCCATCCCCCTGCGACTGCCCGCCTGACTGAAACAGGTCACTACCGTCCAACGTCTTGCCTCTGAACAGCCCCGCCAGCACACTCGCCTCCTCCTCCTTCTCCGACATCAGCGACCTCCACCACCCGGGCTGGCGCGGTGTTCCACAGCTGCCCCTCCGTGTGCCCTGGCCAGTCTGCCCCGTCCACCAAGACCCCAAAGCGGACTGCTGGCTGCTCTCGGCGTCCCTCGACGGCACATGCCTGTTCGTCAGAGGGGAGGGCGGCAGGGAGAATCGCGACGACCAGCCTTGCACTGGCGGCTGGGAGCAGTGTATGGCAGCAGCAGTGGGAAACTGAAACTCTTGACCATCCATGTTGCCCACCTTGGTGCTGTGCGCGGCTCCTGGCAGGGCTGACGACACGCAGCATGCTGGGCCACTGCTGGGCAGCCCAGTCCCAAGTGCGGCACCCAAACTGGGGGCCCCGGACCCGAGGTCAAGCTGTGCATTCAGCCTGGAGAATGCCAGGCCCCCCTGCTGGCCATAAGCAGTGCCCTGCAAACCATTGGAACCAGCCTCGCCATTCACCCGATCTCCTCCCTGAAAGGGGGCGCCGCCTGACAAAGTGCCCAGCAGGGCGCCTGGCACAGCGCCCATCAAGGACCCCTGGTGCTGTGGCATGGCCCCGAGCTGGACTCCCAGCGGCCCTTGTTGGCGAACAGACCCAGTGCCGGACATGGGGTGTGCATCTGTCTTGTTGCAAAGGCAGCCCGCGACAGGCGCAATCTCCGAAGAGTTCAATCTCTGCACCGTGCTGGTAACCCGCAGATGCTGGAGAATCGATGCAGCAGCAGATGACTGACTGGCCAGCTTGGGCAGACCACCACTGAGGTCGCTACCCAGCGAACCTGATATCTGGGAAAGTCCTATGCCAGGCATGGCCTGCGTGCTTGCCAGGGGCTGTGACATCTGGCTGGAGCTGTCCAAAGTGGGAGATGGCAGCCCCAGGGACCCAGTGGACAAGGCCTGTAGTGGCGAGTTCGCCAGGAGCCCAATGCTCACGGGCGTGGGCAGGGGCACGATGGGCTCGAGCACGCCTGGCGGGTTGGGTGACTGATAGAAATTGAGTCCAAGCAATGGGACAGACACGGCAACTAGGGCAGCTGACGCCTCTGAGGCAGCCTCTGAAGCGGCATCTGATGCCCTGCTGCTCCACAGCTGTTCTCCTGGTGGAGAGGCAGCTGGTGCTACACTACTTGCTCCAGAGCCCAGTGTGGTGCTGAACAGGGATGCATCGGAGTCCATCGAATTCAACGACTCCCCGTTTTTCGCGTGTGAGCTGAGGGCACTGTGGGTGGGGAGGGGAGGCTTGCTTCTGCTTGCACGCTCATGCTTTTGAGCAAAGGGCTTCGTCGTGCTCGGCCCGTCAGGGGACGAAGCGGCCTGCGATGGCGTCAGGGATGTACCATTGGCTGAGTAGGTACTGGGCCGCCCACCACCAGCTGCATACTCAATTGGGGTGTCATCTGGTGGGGGTGGCAGCTTGTTGACAAAGTTCACCTTTGCCCCAGCGCCACACTTCCCATCCGCTGTAGGCTGGTGCGCAACTCGCTCAATGCGCACACCAATCTCATCGTCCACCCACACGTCGTTCTTGCCCTCCAATTCCATTGAAGTGCTGCCCGTGGCCTCAACCGCCACAGCTTTGGCACTCAAACTCGATTCTGCTGACTGTTTCCCAGCCTGTTCGCTGGAATCCACCGACTTGTCAAGGACATGCTTCCCCTTGACTGGCATATTCGCTGGTTCGTCAGAACTTATTCTTGATCGCTGGAGGAAGCCATTCGCAAATGCATCGGACTCAGTATCTTTCCCTTGCCCACTCGCTGCCCCAGAATCTCCTGTCTGGTTTCCCATCTTGCTCTCCTGCTCTGGCTGAATGCCTCCACTTTCCAGCTGATTCCTGGTGGCTCCTTCCCCAGCCAGTCTCTTGGCTTGGCCAGTACTGCCCACATCATATGCATCCTCACTTCCCGCACAACCTTCGATCACCTTAGACTTGGCCAAGTTGGTTGTTCCTTGAGTCGCCCTACTTCCAACGTTGTTACACTGCCTCTTTTCACTGTCCCTACCATTGGCACCACCGTCTGTGTCACTCCTCAAGCTGCTTCCCGAGCTCAGACTGCCAGGGCTTCCACAGACCGGCTCCAAGCTCCTCCAGGCTGACACAGTTGCCTCCAAACCCCCACCTGAGCTCCCAGAATTGCCGCTGTGCTCAACCCATGGCACATCGTCAGAATCCCGTAGCGATGCACCCAAGCCTACCTTTTCATCCGGACCCACCCCACTGTTCGAACTTGGCCATCGGGGGAAGATCTGCCCAGAGCGTAGCGAAGCTGGTGCCACTCTGGAGGCTGCGGCTCGGAGCAATGACTGCGCTGATGGCTGCCGTGATGGCACTGGAGGTGTTGGCAGCGATTCAGTTGCTTCAGGTGTGGTGGATGCAGCATTGCCAGATGATGAAATGCATGTATCTGCTTCAGGTGAATTTTCATTGTCATGGAGAGGCATGTAAGCTGGTAAAGATGACCCAGAGGCTGATATACTGAACATCCAGTCCTCGTCATACTCAAAGGGCTGGACAGACGGTAACACGAGTGAGCCTGCCTGTAGCCTGTGACCAAATGAACAGCACCGAAAATTAGAATGTCTGCACACAACTTGTAACATTGCTTAGCATGTCTTGCACACCACAGGAAGATTGGTTGGCATGAGGTTATCCCCTATGCCAGCGAGGCAGCTTCCAGCCAACAGCGATCATGCCATCACCCAGGATTCCACATCACTTGCAGACAAGGGACAGTCAACTAGGATGCCAACGTTTTCAGGCACACATAACACTCCCTTTCGGTCCCCCTGCCCCTTTTTGTTTTAACACACTCGAACCTGCCATCTGCACTCACTTTTTGCCTTCACCGAGCTGCTTGTCCTCGCTGTCACTTTCAGCACCTGTGAACACACCGACGGGTATGTCCAGCGAAGAATCGGAGTCTGAAGCTGACACACCACCAATAACAATGAAGTTCTCATCGTCAGAGCAGGTGCGCAGCGGCTCTCCTGCAGGCTTCTTAGAGAGCTGACCAGTTGTACTTCCACCCACGCTCTTCTTCTTGGGGATGGCTACTGGGTCTTTGGTAGGCTCTCTCAGTTGTTGAAGCACCTCCCTCACATTCTTGCCGTTCACCATGTCTGCACTCGCGATGTGTTCACCAATTCCACCTCCTTTGGTGCCATGTTTCAGGGGCTGCGGACCATTACAAACACTTCAAAGCCAAGCAATGGTGGAGTCCATTGCTTCAAATAGTGGTTAAGAAAGCATTTTAAGAGGCAAAATGATCGCTGCATGCATATGCTCAGGTGCTAACCCCATTCCATAACAAACAATGTAGCTTCTTCCATCGCCTAAATTGGCTTTGCTTTAAATTGGGGCATTGGGTCAATCACCATCCCTGCCCACACCACCTGCAGAAAGAACATTCTGCAGCATCCTGCTGTCATACCAGCACCCACAGAGCTGTGTACAATGTGCAGTGGTCAGTGCACCGGAGGCAGTGAAAGGCAACGTCAGGGACATGCTGTCAGCATGCATTCACCCATCATATCCAGTCGCTTCTTAATAGGAGATTGCACATGTTATCATGATCACACTGTAATTCGCTTCCACGCATCCTGCATTATGCAGGCTGCATTGTCTCAGACAACACAAGCCATCTTCCAATGACAGAAATGCTGGCAGCTACAAATTTGCAATATATTATGGGCACAAATACTGCAAGCCGCAAAACTACATATCCACACACAATCTTGCATCAATTATTGCAGGAAGCAAGGCACACATGCTTGTATAAGCTGTGATCACTGAGCAGCAAGGCCGTCTGTGGCAAACTGGAGGGTGGTAACACCGACGTTCAATTCAACACCATTGCTTTCAGATCCATTTGCTTGCCATGAGGCAACGATTTGCAGCAAGGATATTCATGCAGCTGGCGGACTTGCAGAACAAATTGTGCGATGACAGGAATGAACAATTGATACAACAACACATCGACAATGCATTACCACCATAACAAACAACAAGAATGACTAAACAAACATCCAACACGGGGGTGATGCACTCTGGGGCACACAGCGGACACACCCCACCTTTGGCTTCAAAGGAACTTTGCCCATCTCCTGCACACTCCCACCCTGTGCACTGTCCAGATCGCCTGTCGCTCCCAGGCTCCGGCTCTTACCCAAAGTTTTGCCAGAGAGCGGCAGGCTGGCTGTGCCACCATCCTGAGGAACCTTCTGGCCTCTGAGTGCCGCAACCCTGGCGGCAAATGACTTGCTGTTCAGGTTCTGTTTGCTGACAGGATCGCTGATACGGCTCTCCTTCCCATCACTAGATGGCAGGGCGCATTGCTCCATAGATTCTCTGGAGTCCTGTCCATGCTCCTGTCCACGTTCTTGTTGGGATCTCCAGTTGAGGGCAAGGACACGTTTTTCGCTGGGCGTTGAGGCCAGGCCCCTGCCAAGGGCATCGATGCCATTGCGAGATCGCCGGCGTCCCAAATTGCTGCGTGGAGAGACTCTAGCGTCGTCCAGGGATGATTCGGTACTTGGTGAGGCATTTATCTTCCCATCCCAGCTATGGGAATAAGGAGAAAGGCTCGCACCATGTGGGCATGGTTCAGGGATGACAGCACCTGTGATCTTTGCAGCCAAGTGGCGTGCAGGAGAACGGTGCACAGCATCAGGGGATGGCTCTGGGCTTGGTGAGACTGAGGACCTGCCAGCCATTCGTGGATCAGGGCTGACAGAGCCCGACCTCTTGCCAGCCATTGTTGGCTCTGGGCTGACTGAGCCCGATCTCTTGCCAGCCATTCTTCGTGGCTTCCAGGCACAACCATCTGAATAGAGACACAGCAGTCAGCAAGGTCACTGCCGGCTTTGCCAGATAAGAATATAGCAATCTGGAGCTCGAAAGCACGCATCCTTGCCACACACATTCAGGTTCGTTGGGTATACTACTTTCAGTGCAGGTAGCAGACGAGTGCGTTGGTGAGATGCACACATTCGAAGGCAGAGGGAATGCTCCACAAGAAGCTCACCGACTGGCGACCGCACACTGTTGAGTCGACTGCTTGTAGACTTGTGAAGATCCAACAATATGCGAATCCGCAACCTTGCATTCCCCAAGTGCTTAGCAGAAGGGTTCACCAACGGGTATGTCCCACTCAACCACCTGGACGTCCAAGCCAGCACAGTTCAGGGTCAGATAGAGCGAAGCAAAGTGCAGCTGCAGCATGCTCATAAAGATCACACAACGGTTTTATGAGCTTGCAGCTTGGCTGCTCCACTCCCCCGTCAATCCCTTCCCAATAAGTTGTACTGCGCTAACGGCTTCTCCTTTCCACCAATTCATTGTCCTCTTATCAAAGAACACTTAGATAATCGAGGTCGATTCCATGTCGCAGGAGCAACAGCACAAAGCAAGCAGCCAGAATCTGGCAAGGACAAGAAACAATGCCTGCACCACCTTGCCACCTGATAGATGCAAAAACATATCCTTTTGCGCAAGCAGAATACAGCCGCACACATGGACACCAGTGGCAAGTCTGCCAGCCCACCTCTGGGGAGTGCTGCCTCCGACGTTGCGGTTCAGAAGCAAAGGCGAAAGGTCCACTTCAGCCCTCCCAATCAGCACACTGTTGCCCGTTCCAGTCGTTTGCTTCTTTGCTCGCGCAGTATCCCTTCGGAAGACTGCGATCACCAAGGGGTAGCACAGCAGTGACTCTGCGAGCTCTTGGTCCACGCGCACAGGGTGCCTGCCGCAGTGGTCCCATTTGACGTGCCAGGTGTTGCCAGGGGCCAAGGGAGGGTGAGTGGGTGAGCTGCATGGGAATGAACTGCTGGTGCGCTCCTCGCCGCTGTTCCCTGCCAATGTAGGTCGCAGTGCATGTTCAGGCCCAACTGCAGGATGCTCAATCAGGTGAGACACATATCGCAGCACTGTGGAAACAGGGCTTCTCCACTGGAGTTATCTCCACATGCTGCCTTGAAACTTATGCGAAACATTATAATATCCCATAGTGATCATACACTAGGGAAAGCAAACCTTGTATTAGCCTGTCCATTCTTTAGACGAAGGATTAGGTGTACATGGCCAGTACGGGACTGTATGCTGCCATTCATCGCCATCTGTTTGACTGGTTGTCACCTGTCAGTGTCAACAAATGCACAATGCTGCACCTCCCCATCAAAATCTGACCAGTTTGGTCACATTTAACAGCCACCCAGTTGCCTTAGTGTTCAGAACAAGGTATCTGTATGAAGACACAAAACTTCTTCTGTAGAGTAAGGCAACCCTTTGCTTGCTGAATGTGAACAATCCATGTAATCGCAATAACAGGTTGGAAGTTTGTTGCTTGGAAGCAAAGGGGCCAGTGACAGTGGAAGGGGCGCTGAAGTCTCAGTTGAGACCTATTCTTGCCATTGCTGACCACCCTACTTCACATGAACACCCTCAGCCCGACTCCCCAGGTTTCGCCCACCTCCCTCCCTCCCTCCCCCTCCCCCTCCCCACTCCTTCTCTCCTCCCATTGACGAGAAGTTTTCATATGCAGTGCTTTCATGCACTGTAAGAGTCAGACAGGCATGCGGAAGTGGAAGAGCAATAACACAAGACACTGAGGAGCATGGACAGCAAGAAAACATGCACGTGGGGATTAACTTGCGAGTTCCTGTGATTTCACCTTCCACTCACCTGGCAACTTGTAGGCCACAAAATGAGGGCCACCAGGAGGTCGTTTGTCACGGCCATGGCGATAAACAGGCAGCATGGCTTCCTCTACATGCACACTGCACTGACCCCACTGGCCATCAAACCCATGCCCAATACAGGCCGCACTCAACATCACTTGGACCTTTGGTTCCAACCAGTCGAGGAGCTTGGGGCACGCGTGTATGGGAGGCACACCAGCAGGAACTGGCCTCCCATCCAGGCTGGTCACCCGGACAGTGATTTGGACAGCACCTGCAGCTTGGCCTCTCTGAGACCTCAGGACCAGCCATCCGCCCACACCCTAGATCCAGGGCAATGGTCACAAAGGTCATGCAACAGGAATTCCCCTTAATTCCCTTTTACAATTCCCCTATATTATATACCACCCACATTGCCCCAGTGTCCCTTCCGCAAGGAAGCGGCAACTGTCCTGTCTTTGAGGGGGCTGGGACAAAGATACACTGATGTGTAATGGACTTGCTGAAACCTGCCAAGCTTGGCATCGCCGTTGCTCCATGTATGGCATTGCCATTGATGCCCTCAAAGCAGAAAAGACAGGCTACATTACAGACTGTCAGGTGCGTCAAAGGCTGTGAGAGAAATGCAAAAGTGTCCAGGAATGGGTTTGCTCTCAATGAACAATTTCTGGGGGTGCTGATCAGTACCCAAGCTGTTGACGAGCACGCCTTGGCACACGAAAAGGCACGCCAAAACGAGCAACCGCGAGCGACAAGAGCACAAACACAAACGGAGGCAAAGACAATGCAGGCGCCAAAAACCCGCCAACAAGGCCTGAATCCACAGAGTCCGTACCTGTGGCTTTGTAAGCAGGTGCATCAGAGGAGTCCTGGCGGTTCCCAGGAAAACGTTGCGCAGCCCCGTGGATCCGCCTGTCGCCGCCCGGCCCTCCGACAGGGCGTTGACCAGGCCCTGCGACCGCGGGCAGTGGTGCCACACCTCCACGCGCATCTCCTCGGCGACGATGGCGCGCAGCACCGCCGGGCTCGCCGGCAGCACCACCGACTCCTTGAAGTTGTACGTGGGGCAGAATGTCTGGGCCTGCGATGCACACGGAGGCTCAGTTCATGGTCAGTGGCAGGCCGGGCATGACCAACGCGTGTGGCGTTCATTTCAGCCGCAAAGGCCCCAATCATACGGACTGGCAGCCCAAGGCACAGCGCCCGCTGCCATGGGCAGGCAGCCGCTCGAAGCGCGAGGCTTCCAGCACTCCAAAGAGAGCCGCTTCACGTGCACAGCGCCCCACAATCCGGGACGCGCTCACCTGAAATGGGGTTTGGACGGTCGGCGCATCGGTCTGCGCGGCCAAGTGGTCGGGCAACAGGGACACGGTGACGTAGGGGTGCGGCCCCAGCAGGTGCGCGGAGCCCAGGGCGGCCGCGCTGTCCTGGTACAGCTGCAGGGCGTCCTGAACGGCGGCCTGCAGGGAAGTGGCACCAGCGGCGTCCCGTCAGCAGCACTCCTCCCCCCCGCGACTGTACCACGCCTCAGCCGCCGCGTCGCAAGAGCAGCTGGCTCCGCAACGCGCATTCCAGCGGCGACGGCCCGCGCGGATTGGAGCGGCACGGCCGTGATCCGTCTCCCTCCGGCCCGCGTGAGCAGAGGGCGCAGCCGGGGGGCGACTGCATCGCACCGTCCCCAGGCCAAAGGCCATGGACGCTGGAGGGCGTTCGGCACTCACCAGCAGGCCCGCACAGCGCGCGACGTCCACGCTCAGCGCCAGCTCCACGGGCCCCTCGTCCGCCATCTCGGCGTCGGTGCCGCTGGTGCAGCTGGTGGAGCTCAGCGCGTCCGACCCATCGGGCTCTACGACACTCCCCGCTAGTTCAGTCGACGCCGCGGCGCTCACGCGCCGGTCCCCGGCATCCCCTCCGCCCGCCTCGCCCTTGGGGAGCCCCGCCGCGGGGTCGGTGGCCGCCTGGGGCACGCCGGTCTCGTGCGCATCAGCCGGGGTGCTCGGCAGCTCGCACGCAAAGGTACGGTCGCGGAACCGGGCACGACTGAACGCCCCGTTCCACGCATCCCAGTGCGCAAGTCCGTGGAAGTCATGGAGCGAGCGCCGGAACCGGGGGCCCAAGCGCTGGGCCGCGCACGGCGGACATCGGCGCCGTACCTGCACGCCATCAGCTCCCGAAATGTGGCGCCCCCCGCGGCACGAAAACGTCACGGCGATTTGGCCGATGGTGGCGCCCCGCAGTACGTCCCTCAGGCCGAACCTGCCCCCGTCCCGGGGAGGGGCCGCCAGGTGGACGACAGCCACGCCCACCAGCCCGCCTGCGCAGGCACACGCACAGCGGGTCGAGCTGAGGCTGAGGCTTGCGCGCTTGGCGTCGGAACCTCGAAATTTCCTTGCCCGCCGACGGGATGAAAGAGCGGAACCGGAGGTGGGGCAAAGGCCGGGAGAGGAAGGCACGCGGGGGGCCTCGCGAAGAGCGGGTGGCTGCTCCCCCTCCTGCAACACATTTTCCGTGATTTGTCGGTTGGAGCGCACAGATCGGTCCCACCTGCGTGCTCGCGTCGCTCCGCCCCTGGCGATGCGCGCCTCCTGACCTCGACGGCGACCGGCGGCGTGGACGTCTGTACGACGCCTCGTTGTTCGCATGTGGTGCCGGGCACCTCCACCCTCCCGGCGAACCCGGCGCCGGAGGGATCCGCTTCGGCGAGGGGGAACTCCACGCGGGGCAGCGCCGCGTGGCGCACCACGCCGAACAGGCCGTCCCGCGTCGGGAGCTCCAGGGCCAGCCGGACGTCGAGGAGAATCGTCGGCGCGTCGCGGACACGCGATGCCGCCGGAACGGCTTGGATTTGCGGCCCTACTGGAGCGCCTCGAGGTCGCGGGTCCGCTGGAGAGTGGGGCTCGCCAGGGGCTGCGGCCGTCGGTGATGGGGGGTTGCGATCGTCAGGGGCAGTGCCGTGCGTTTCGTCAGGCGATGTCCGTGTCTGGGGCGCGGAGGTGGGTTGGGGGACGGCGCTTTCGTGTGCGCGGTGAGGCAGCGCAGTTTGGAGGCTTTCACACGGGCGATGTGGGTGGGCGCCTGCGTTGGTGCTGCCTGGGGTCTGCAAGCCTGGACCAAACCCCGGGGCTTTGAGCATGGGACTGGTTGCCTGGCTGGCCGGAGGAGTTCGTGCCTGTGAGACAACGACCGGAGCGTTATAACTCCCTTCCCCGCCTAGCAGACGTCTTCCTGGACAATGCAACCAGCAAAGGGGTGTGTTTGTTGAGCTGCGGTAAGTCGCGCAGTTTTTGTGCACCTTCTTGTTGGGTTCCAGTTGGCCCATAACGGCATTTTACTGCTGTTCGGACAGGACCCGCACCTGGAACCTTACATGTGACGTATCTTTTGGAACGAAACTCAGGAAGTTCAATGCGTCCTGGCTGTTTTGATCAACGAAGCTGTTCAGGCAATTTGTAGGGCTGTAGGCAGACCCATGCAGTGTTGGCAAAGAACCCAGCAAGCCAGGTGTACTCAAATGGGGGCCGGAAATGGGGCATGTGTGTGGAATGTACACGACCAGCAAGCCCTCAGAGCACAGGGCTTAGCGTCCTGCTATCAACCTTTGGCCATGAGGCTGGGTTCTGCAGACGAAAGCCCTGGAAGGAGGGTGGTAGTCAACCAAGGTGCAACCATCCTACCTGCATGTGGTCACAATCCATCGTTCCACTGCACAGTCTGGCATAGCTGGCACCAAAGCATGTCGAGGTGAAACTTCTCCAGGCCTACCTTTGCGGGCTTTGCCAACGTTGTTGGCTTTGTGGTGGTGAAGAACAGTGTGTTGAGGAGTGTGTCTTCTGTCACCGTCTCTGGACTAACAGAAGCTTCGTTATCGCTGTCAGCCATGGACACACCATCTGTGCTGTCGCAGTCGCTGCCAGTGCTGAACTGAACAGACACCCTGTCTGAGTATGTTGTGCCCAAAACGCCCCTCCATCCTCTTGGAGCAGTGATCAGGTCTGCAGATGCTGCCCTGGTGCGCAGCTCTGCAGCTTTCGAGACCATCTGATCGGCATCCAGCTCATCTGCAGCTTTTCCATGGGCGTGGCAGTCAGTGGGCATGTTTTGTAAAAGGTTGCCTAATGTTGTGCCAGGGCGAGCAGAGGTGCCATCAGCATATGTTTGCAAATTCGGAGGTTTGTAGCCAAAAAAAGCACCTGTATGCTGGGGGGCAGTCCTTCGCTGTGTCTTGTCTCTGATGACTGGAGAAGACAGAGACAAAAGTGAGTGCTCCTTGCTGATGTTGTTGCGGCATGAGGCTGTCATTTCCTGGTAGAGGGCCTCAGCTTGAGATATCAGCTTATCCATGGAATCTCTTGAGCCGTCTGGGATGGTTTTGGCTGGCGATTTCTCATCGATGCACTGGGCTGAGGTGAAGCACAGTGGGTCATATGTGCTGTCTGGCGGACAGCACTCCACCTGTCTGTTGGTGCCATGGCATGGAGAACTGCACGCCACTGTGTTGAACCTGGTGCACACCGCCGCAAAGCAATCAAGCCATCACATGCACGGGACAGTGGAATGCAAGGCATGTGCTGGTGGAGTTGTTAGTTTCGTAGTTGTATTTTCACATATTATCCTTTATTGAAGGAACACAAATGGAATGTGGGTGCTCAGCCAGTGGCAACTATCAAGCGGTGCTTCCAAGTGGCTGTGTCCCACAAATGGTGCTGACTGTTTCTAGTACATGTGTTTGTATTGTTGAACATGCCACCACTAACCGTGACTCAGAGACGCCATCGATGGAGAAGGCGTCCAGATTACAATCATCTCTGCCATTGCTGTGCTCTGTCGCTGTTGAAGTTTGGAACGTCGACAAGGCATGGCAAAGACCTTCTGCCAGTTTTCCTGGTGGCCTCTCCAACACTGCCTGTTGCTGCAGTGCCTGTCCAGAGCTCCACACCGTCATTTGTCTTTCTTCCTGAGGCAAGAGCGGGTGCTGGAGATCAATGCCGCAGTATCTGTGGTTTTGATAACAGCGCATGCCCGACGCCGTGGCTTTGGGGCTGTCCCTTGGCAACCAGAGGCTGTATTGCCGCAACTTCCTTCAGTGAACCCAACAGCTCGCACCAAAGCCACACCGGCATGGTGGATGCAACAGCAGGGCAAAGTGAGGGCAACAGTTTGTGGCAGCTGGCAGTGAGTCGCTTGCCTGGGGCTCGCCTTCAAGTGTTTGTGGCAACTCCAGCACCGCAAACAAGTCCTGCCGCAACACAGAGAAACGGATTAGAATTGAGTATCGGCAGTATCAAAGACCGTAGATCTGGGGCGGCAATCTGCGGAGGAGTTGCACACGAAGCTCTGACGGTCTATACCGTGTGCGGCACTAAGTCAGTGGCAAACTGGATCGACTGTGCACTATGCTGGCTTCACGACACGACGGCAGCCCCCGACCCAGGTCTCTTTTGGGCATGGTCTCAACAAAAATGACGGGCGCCACCTGCATTGTTGCCTTTCCATTGGGTTTCCTGGCCAGCAGGGCTGCAAGTAGGAAGCGTTCCTCCCGCTCCCCCATTGTGGGCAGCGCGCTTTTCAGTCCAGTCACCTGCCAGTTGAGCCAGCACATGTTCAGAACGAAGTTGGAGGCGATCACGGCATTGCCGAGTGCTGAAAAAAGGCCGTCGTCCACGTTATTCACGTTGTGGATTTGAAGTCGTCGATTTCAAATATTCACGATGGACATTTCTCCAACCTTGAAATGGCTGCGCTGGCAAGCGCGGCGGCTGCAGATCTGTGCAGGGATCATCTCCTTCTGTTGGGCGATTCGAGATCGTGATCTCAAAAGGCAACGGCGCGGGGGCCCGCGCACATCCCTTCAGCAAGACCGCTGCAGTGCTCGCCAGGATGGACACTTACCAACTGGAACACATCTGCGCCTTGTGGGTCTGCCAGCTGTGCAGCAGAGATTTCAGCAACGCCGTCCAGTGCTTGCCGAGCCTGTATGCCGAGTTTGTGCAGCACTCCGCTCGATGCTGGCCACGGGCTGCGAGCGCTTCTGCATGCCAGCTTGCATTCTCTGTGGGACACGACATGTGGATCTTGTTGTGTGGAGCTCGATTCCGGGGGCGTCTCAGAATGTGGAAGCAAAGCCAAAATGTAAGAAGACCTCCAAAATCCCCACCTTACACACACCCAAAACGCGGCCCGCAAGGGATGCGTCGCGATCCATTTGTGGTCCTACTCTGTGACGCTCATGCCGTAGGAAGGGTGTACGAGAGGCGTATTTCCAATGTTTGGCTTCCTTTCGCATGTTGTGGACAATCTCGCGAAAGCGACTTCAAAAGCTCCACAATCGAGCACCTGTGATCCGACCAGTGAGCGTCCAGCGCGTTGCCATGTTTCTGGCAAACGCCGTTTACGCGAATATCATCCGACATATCGTTGGTTCAATCTGTTGATGGCTGAGATGCGCCAGGCATCAGCCACTGCACACATCGTCGCACAGCGGTAGACGACAAAACCGCATACCTGATCCCCTGTCTGAACGTGGCGTACGTCACCTGCTCCGCACTTGATCTGTTCACCATCTGCCAGAAATGGTGGATGTCCAAGTGAGCCGCCGGGATCCCCAGCGCTCTGCGTCAAGACACGGAACACAATGAAGCTCCAGGCAATGAGTCCAAGAGTGCTCGTATTCAAGCCAGTCAGACAGTGCAGAGACACGTCATGGTAATGAGCAAGAAGAACATGCCACACGATGTTGTAAAACATGTTCTAATCGCACCGTATTGTCATCAGTGGCCACCCACCCTCATGAGGAGAGAGGCGGCGAGACTCTGCGTGCTATGATGCGAGAGGGATGTGGCAGTCTCGAAAAGCAGGGTGACAATACGCACTAATGTGTCGAAAGGCTGCAAAAGGTGGGCAATTAGATGACAGGAGCCTGCCGCCTTGCCGACTTCGAAGAGGGAAGCAGTTGCACCATCCCATGCGCACACGCAGCCAATCGACGGCGCACTGTGAAGACAGCCCGTTGGAGACATCCACGGGCGTTTAAGGAAGAGTCGCTGATTGGATCAAAAATTAGCGCCCGCCATTATCTTGCAGTGTAAAATTCCTTGTTTCGTCCACGGAACAACGTAAGCAAACAGGAATTCAGCGAATTTGCAAAGTGCGCCTGACTTTTGTGAGGTCACTGTGTGTTACTTAAGCGTTGGTCCCATGCCTCATGAGGCATGGGACATCTTCCGTGATCACGGAAGCAGCGCTCTCGTACTTTCAACCTGGGATTTTCAAAATTCAACAATATTTTACCTACAGGGTTATCAGATTACTAGGCAATGCAGATGTTGCCTGGCACACAACGACATGTGCCCGTGTGCATTGTTCTTCTGTTGAGGTTTGTAGAATTGCTGTATGGAGACGCACTTGTACCCACAGTGACATAACAGCCCAATGCTATGTTGGTGAACCGCTGGGGCCATGGTCTCACTCCTGGAGAATGAACTTCATGCCTTCTTCCCCCACCAAATTCTGGTGCTGCTTGTCGCACGTCCGGAAAATGTCGATAAGCCGGAGATGGCGCCTGGTAGGAAGGCAAACGCAGATGCGCCCATTCAGGAACTCCGGAGTGGAGGAATTCTGCCGCATCCGCATCCTTCTTCAACGGAAGTTGGCAAGCCCAAGAACATCTAAAAGAGGCCGTGAATGCAACTGGAAATATATGCGTTGCATAATACGTTGTAATCCATAGCAGTGCTGTGCAAGGCAGCGTGTTGGCAAAAAGTTATGAACTGTTTGCAAATTCAGTTAACCCTCCCTGGAGGTGGGCTTCAAAAGGCACCCAAACGCATGCCCTCGACCCCTGGGGCAAAGTCGGTGACTGGTGCGAATTGTGAGCTTGCAGAAGATACCCTGCACTCTGGAATCCCCAAGGTCTTTCAAAGGCCAACGTTGCCAAAAGTCGATTTACAGGAGCGCATCACCGTCTGGCAAGTCAGCCAGGCACCGACGACTTCATTCTGATGCTGCAGCATGTTTGCTGAAAATGTGGTTGGCATCTTATAGTTTGATTTTGGGTTTCAGCGTACGCCAACCAACAAAACAGACAACGACCATTTGAGCGAAATACTGTGGGCATCGGTACGAAGCATTGCTATGTTATTATACTTTCTTTTACAACAATAAGGTATTGCTACTTCTTTGCAGATTCTTGCGTATTACAGCATCTTTACTGGTGGTGCCATTGCACCGGCGTTGCTGTTTGATCATCTGAATAGCACTGCTCGGGGTCAAATCGCACCCCAGAACAGCACCAGTGCTATTCGCGCAGAACATAGCGGCGGTGCCCTGATGTTATTGGATATAGCAACAGCACCCACCGCCGCGGATGCGCGCAGGGGAGCAGTAGCACCGGTGCTATTCGGCAAGGGCTGTGCTAGAAAGGTGGCACGGCAGCCAATGAAGCCCTTTCATGTTCAGCACCGCCGGTGCCACAGCAACACCCGATAAAGATGCTCTTAGTACATTGTCAGCATCGAGCCCCAACTCAATGCCATTGGCGACCAAAAGCCGTCCAACCGCTCCAGGTCGCCCCCCACCCACCCACCCACCTGGCCAGTGCCCTGTCCAGCTCGTCGAACAGCCTCAGGGCGCCCGCTTCCCCGCCGCGCACCCTCACGCCTACCCCCTCCATCGCCATCCCCTTCGCAACCCCCTTTCCCTGCCACCATCCCGAATCCTGCCCCGCGTCGGGCTGGTCGTCGAACGCCACTGCCAGTGACAGGCTCACGCTCCCAACGACGTCCCCCTCCACGGAGATCAGCGGCCTGCTCTTCTCATCGATCGGCCTCTCGGGCCGCAGGTCGCCGACCCAGACACGGCATTCGCCGATCCAGCCATCTGCGTCCGAATTGGTCCACCCGGTTGGGGACGTCGTGAGGATGAGCGGCCGCGCATCGCGCAGGTACCGCGCAAAGCGATGCCGATCAACCGCCACCGGGAAGGCGACCACGGTGGGCGCGCCGGACGGCGTGGGGATCGGCATGCCGGGGCCGGGCTGGCCCCACCAGCGGCAGAAGACGTGGGTCGGCGCGTCGGGGAGTGCGAGGCCGGGATGCAGGTTGAGGTCGGAGAGGGTGAGGCGGAGGTGGCCGAAGGGGGGCCCCGACACGCCCGGAGGCAGGGTCACCGGAGGGTGGGGATACATGAAGGCGGAGAAGGTAAAGACGGAGATGGGAAAAGGGAGACAGAGAAGGAAAGGTGGAGACGGAAGACGAAGAAGGGAGACGGAAATAGGCCGTCGCGGGAGGATTTGGATGGCGGAGGATCGGGAAATGGGTGTTTGTTGGAGCGAGGGGGAAGGGCGACGGGACGGGGAGAAGTCGGGGGGGGTGGGGAAGGGGGAGGGCGCGAACCCGGGTTCTGGGTTGCGGGGGCGGGGCCTGCCAGCTACGGGCCGGGCTTCCTTGGCCGTGTGGGGGTGACGCCCATGGTGCTCAGGCACGCGTTCGTCGCTCGCGGATTGGAGCCTGTCCCGACCCGGGGGCGGTCCGCCGGGAAATAATATTACTGCCTGCACCAAATCGGTGACTGCTTGCACCAAGTCACGTGCACACTTTGTCCTAACCTCAGTTTTAGGGTTAGGTTTAGTTCAGGGTGAGTTTTAGGGTTAGGGTTAGGGTTGGGACAGGTTTAGGTTTAGGGTTTAGGGTTAAAGTTTTAGGTTAGGTTAGTTTTGACGGAGTTGGACAGGATGTGCACGTGACTTGGTGCAAGCAGTCACCGTTTTCGTGCAAGCAGTCACCGATTTGATGCAGGGAGTAATTTTATGCCGTCCGCCGGGAGGGCCGATCATCCCGATGATCCGCTGATTCATGGTCAAGATTTTGCAGCCACGCACTCAGTACATTCAGGCCTGGGAGCAACGAGGAGATATCGGCTATATTCATGGTGGGTGGGACAACCAGCGGGGGTGTGTTGTTGATTGAGGTTGCAAAAGTACTGACCTGGCGGGAAATTGACCTGAACCCGCGATGTTCAGTGTGGTGTCCCGTTTGTCGTTGGGCGCGGAGGACGGCGGAATAGGACTCCAGCAAATCCGCTGGTGCTCACCGAGAACAAGGTTGAAGCTTCCGTCAGGCAGCATCCAGTACATACGCACGTTTCCCTGGCCAACATGCAGATTCCGGTCCCTTTATGGGG